GGCCTCACTCAGTTTCTGCATAGACGCCTGGTGGAGATGCTCATTAACCTTATCTGAGTGGTAGGGCCTCGCTGATTTATTATGTTTATCAAGGAGTTTAATTTTGAGAGATACTCTACTTGTTATTTTTGGGTGTGCACTGATTTCATCCTCTCTGAGTTTCCAAAGCTTTATTTTTTATTAAATTCATCCATGCATTGTATCCTGAAAGGCCGTTACCCTCGAGTTTGGATTTCATATAAAACCTCACCTAATTCTGATTGGCTTATTAGATGGGATTTTCTCATTGATACACGCTGCTCAGTTATATGACGGGTATAGGAAACATGTGTTTTCCATTAGACTCGATATTACAGTATAGTACTGAGTTGGGAGAGGCCTTAATATAATTTATGTCAATTTACTCATTATCGCCGGGGTCACTTCGCCTAGGGAGTGACGTGTTTGCCTCTAGTCCCGTATTTCCACGTTAAAAACCCCCCTGAATTGCTGATGTGATCTTGGTGAAGTCGGGGATTGGTAGCACCTATTTTGGATGCATGTCATAGTCTTTGAGTTAATCAGAACAATATTTCCTATTGATATGTGCTCGGTTCGCGCTATCGTATATAATACTCCTTGTATAGAGTAACCAGAGTTCCTTGTATGTAAGAAAGAAAGCTACATGCGAGGATCTCGATGTGGAAAAAATTCATACGATAGTGGAGTGCGGTGCTGGTGCAAGAGGGTATCGTTTGGTCACAGAGGTTAACGATGGCACAAGGGAAGCAATGGAGCAATCATGTGTCAGTCGAGGTAGTTTCTGACTTAAAATACATTTGTGTACTTTTAGTGCCACGTTTTGATTGGCTCAAAGGAGAGGCCCGATGTGGTGACTAGATTCACTAGTCCCCGTGGGCCAGTGCCAGTGGGTCATGTTCCGCTTGGTGTCGCATGAGCCGACAGACACCCGTGAGGTGTAGCCAAACTGATTGGGAAGTAAAGTCGCTACAGCCTAATTTAATACACCTTTTCATCAATTACTCATTACAACTTATCGTCAGTGCATGTTAAGTTATATAAATTAGTCCTCCCGCCTACAATTTCTTTCCTCTGTCCTCAATTAACACTAATTGGTTGCTTCATCCATAGTTTTCATTTGCAATGGAAGTGTCCCACGTATTTGCTGACTATGTAACCATTCGATCCATTTATTTTGTTCTATAACATGACTCTTTAATTCTCTGACACTCCAAACAAGCTTGGCGACTATGATGCTGCTCTGCGAATTCTCGGACTGGAACGCCGCGATTTTCATTCGGCTCAGCTGCTCTGCCAGCAGGAAGCCTATCGCCTACTTACTACCAGTAGGAGGCCTACCGTAGACTGCTTCCAGCAAGCACCCGCAGATGAGCTTGCAGACAATCTGATCGGGCCTGGTTTTTCAAAAACTGCTGAAGCATTCAGTGTTGTAAAGGAAATTGCAAAGGAGTCACTGGTGGAGGAAGAGAAAGTTGCCAGCCTATACACAAAACTGCTGAATCTCTATCTGGAACAGTAGGCTTGACACATCTTTTTATTTATTCCTCGTATCCATTATTCAAGGCAAAACTGAGTTTTGAAAGATCCC